CGTCAAAATGTAAACAAGGACATTTAATTGACATTGGATTTGTAATCAGATTTTAGCCAAAATTTTACACTGTTACACCATTTTACATTTTACAGATTTTGATAAAATCAATAAAATACAAGAATTTATTATTCGATTAATTTCTAATATATATGAAAATCCAATTCCTATTGAAGAATATTTGCAATGTGAAAAGGATAAAACAACTTATCAGATAATAACAGATAAGAAAATTATAGAATTAATGAAAGAACCAAAAAAAGATCCAAATAATGAAAAATCAAAAATTCCTAATATTAGTAATTATGAAGTATTAATTGATTTTTCAAAATCAAATTCGTGCAATAAATAGGTTATGAAAAGCTGTAAAATGAGAAGAATTTTATTCTAAACAGCAAGTTACCTTGAATTCATATTTAAGAAATGATATAACTAATAAAGAATAAATATATTCGATAGTTGTAATGAAAAAAGAATTTTACAACCTATTTTTTGCAAGTTACATTGAAATTATATAATAAAAATGTTAAGTAAACTGGTTTCAAACTGGATAATTAGTTCAACTAAATTTTTAGCTGTAGTTTTGATCATATTGTATAATTATTTAATAAATTTCTATAGGGATTAATTAGTATTGAACCACAGATTACTTAATGTTAAACCTAGGATTAATCAGTGTTGAATCAGTGGTGCTTAATTCGTTGATTCAATTTATTTAATTTCTGTAATTCAAATTTGAAATTGCAATTATGAAACTATAAAAATTACACAAATTTTAAAATTGCGAAAATTTCAATTGTGAAAACTGTAAATTTAGAAATTGCTAAAAAATTAGATCATTTCTTTGATTATTGCATAAAAATTAGATACTTTGCCAATCCATTAAACTAATTAAATGCTGACATATTTCGATAAAATTTTATATAAGGAAAGTTTTATTGCAATTTTGTTTCTTTAATTGTTCAATATTTACATTAACAATTTTTAAATCTTTTCAAAATAACAAATTCCAAAAATGCTTACTACAATTGAATGGTCAGATTATGAAATGCAAAACTTGATCGATTCAAGAAAGGAAAAAAATAAATATTACTGAAGAAGATTTGAAAGATCGAAGTCACCTTTTTGGAATGAAATTGTAGCACAGATTCAGGAAAGATTTATGACGGCATTTAATGGATTTTAAGCAAGGGAAAAATTAAAAGGAATGGTCAGAAATTGTAAAGTAAGTAAATTACTAATAAACAAAGAACAAAAATATTATATTAATTGTATTTTACAATAATAATTTAATAATTTTATGGGATGCAAAAGGAAAGTAAACAAATGTTGGAAAAGTTTTTGAGAAACAATTTGAAACCCCATTTTGGGAGAGACCAGGTTGAAATAATAAAACTTTACTATTGATATTAATTGAAGAAAAATCATTATTAAAATTCAATATTTATATTATTTAGCATCTCGAGTTCAGGAAAGAAGACGTGTGAGATTAGCTACCAGAAATCAAGGTAAGAAATTTATTTAATTTTAATATTATTTTAACATAAATTTATATTTATATTTTTTAGAATTATCAACTCCTCTTCCTAACAACTCCTCACAATCCAAAACCCATAACCCTCAATAATCCATTTTTTCCAACTATTTCACTCTTTTTTTCTAACTATTATTACTCTTTTTTCTATCTTCATAATTTTTTACAACTAATCAATCTTTCTTTTATCTATTTATTATCTTTACTTATCGCTTTTCACTCAGTTTTTTTTTTATAAATTTTTTTTCTGAATTTCATTAAAAAAACTTGAACAAAGCTTGCCACCTTTATATAGTGTTCAGGATCAACAGTTAAAGGTTAATCAATATCTGGCTAAGAGCAAGCATACATTTGTAACTTTAATTTGTTAGTTATTTATTATTTAAATTTATTTGTTTTACATTATTCCAAACTTATTATATACTGAATTTGAATATGATATTTAGTATTACTATATAATGAATAAATTGTTAAAATTCAGTATAAACGTTACTGAATTTTCTTATATAACAAATTTTGATCTCCAAAAATAGAGATTTGTTATAGTGAGGTTCAACTGTAGACTTAATATTATTTTTAGCGCAATTTTTATTAGCTAAGTATATTTATTGTGACATAACTATTTTTTGATCATTAATTACTCAAAATTAATTTACTAGTCTCATAACCCATTTTTAATAAATCAGCACTTATATATTCTTATTGTTTACCATTTGCCTTTAAAGAATGCAATAATAAGCACGAAACATTATATTTGAAATGTAATCAACTTTTTAAAATTTTTTGATTTCATGACAAAATATTTCTGAAAATTATCAATCTCAACTTATTAAGACCAAAGAATACTAGTTATATTTTCTTTTACATCAAGCACGCTTTTAAATGCCCAACTTAAAGCCACAATTGTTAAGTTAAATTCAAATGGTGCGGTCATCATTGTTGATTATAAATATAAGTATTACCAATATCAGGAAATTTTTTCAGGTGATAATTATCATTAATTATTGCCAAGTCAGTAATTATCTTATTTTATTATATGAAAAATATTAATAATTTAAGCAATTGGACAATTATCGATAAAATAATGATAATTGTCGATCTTGATAAATAACAACGTTAAATAATAAAAAATTATGATAATAAATAACAAAAAATTCTACAAGTTAATTATTGGAAATATGATATAGATATTTAATAAAAAAAATCTATGATATTGATAAATAACAAAATAAATTCATGTTAAATAACAAAAAATTATGATATTAATATTTATTAAAATAAATCAATAAATTTTTAAATTAATATTTATTAATTATAATTATTGATATTTATTGAAAAAAACAATTTAAGCTTTAAATTATGTTTAATACCATAATATTAACTTTTTTGAAATATTAATACCTTAATGGATTTATGTTAAAAAAATGAAAAAGGATAAATTACGCTAGTATTTTTTAATATTAATTTTATTTATCATTTTGTTAATAGTTTTTTGATTTTTTTAAAATAATTGAGGATATTTTATTTATTTGTTAAATGATTATTTATAATTACCATTATTATATTATTATATTGGAGGTTTTAACAAATATTATTTTTTCCCAATATTTTTTAAAGACAGATTCATTAGTTTTTCCATTCCAATACACATATTTTGTATTTAGAGTATATATAATACATCTCTTATCCCCAAATGGGAAGATAAATTTGAAATGAAAGAAGGATATATTCAGTTGTGTATTTTAGTCATTTTAGTTATATGCTAACTTTTAAAAAAAAGAAACTCAATCATATTAGAATTCATGTAACATGTAATAAAAGACATATTGTTTAATTATAATTTTCTTGATTAGAATTTTCTAAGGGATATTTTTTTGAATATATGCCTCTATAAAGTAACTGAATAAGGTGTTAACATGTATAAATGACATTTATGTAATTTCTTGATGTACTGTATGTTCTTCTTATCTCCATCTCATTTTTTACTAAAAATTTTTTTGATCAAAAATGCCAACTTTTCCAAATAAAATTATAAGAAATCTTTAATAATATTAAATGACTTCAAAAACTTGCTTCTAATAGTACTGATAAATGGTGTTATAATAATATAAAGAATCTTTAGAAACATTCATTTCGTATTGATATAAAATCATATCGATATCTTTTAAATTCATCAAAAAAGATAAAGAATTTATTAAAAGATTTATATATGAAAATTATGACAAAATCATGAAGGAAATTGATGATGAAAAAGCCAAAGATAATGATAACAAGAACGAAAATGAAAGACAGGTTAAAGAAAAAGTAAACGAGAAGGATATGAATGAGGATATTTGACATTAATCTTCATGATAAACATGTGGATTGTGATTATTCAGCAGAAGATTATAACAAAGTGGATTTTAATGAATAGATAAGGAGAAGAATATGAAAATTATAAAATGGATTATTATGATCAAAATAATGATAAGAATATTCTTTACTATTTTAAGAGTTCTTTGATTATCCTTCTTTTATCACACATATTGATTTTCATAACCTTTTCCTTCTTGTAATCAGGTATATTAAAAATAAGAAAAGTAAACATGATGAAGTTAATCTTTTCAATTACTGAATGAAATTACCTTAGAAAAGAAAAATGAAAAGGAATTTCTTAAGATAAAACTGAAAAAGGATTTGAATTGAATACAAACATTCCTTTACCAGACGTCTTTGTATTTATATTTATCATCATAAGAATTATACTAATAGAGGGAGTTACTATTGAAGGAATTATCCTTCGTTTAGATGAAACTAATTTATTTGAAGAAAATTCTGAATAAGAATTCATCTTTTATAGTTTCTTTAATTACATAATTAAATTTGTAATAAATGACATAATACAAGTTTGAAAGCTGCAACTGAATCCTTTTTTAAACTTTAGCTGATTATTTTTTTTGCATTTAAAGCTGCCTTCTCTTTTTTATTAGATTCTAAACCTTTCATTTCAAAAAAAAAGCTTTTCATTTCAAAGGTAAGTCCTTTGAAATATTTTTATTTTCTTTAGTCTTTAACAAAATATTTATTTCTTGAATATTTTTTTTTTATTTTTTTAAAATCTTTAATGAAACGATTATTAATATTTCATTTTCTAACTCTTGGGTGTCTTTTGTTCTTGTAAGTATTGTTTCATGTGATTATTTAAATATGTTTTTACTACTAAAATTTTGGCATCTAATTTAATGCTTTCTCTTTTGATCCTCAATTACATCCCTAAAGCTTGGATTAAATTGTCTAAGTCTTATTTTTTATTTTAACTATCAGTATATTCACCATTAGTGAAATTCTCTTTTTTAAAACTTTATAAATTGTTCGGTATTTCAACTTCCCATGAATTTACTAAGAGACTAAACAGTATATTAAACAAAATAAAGAAAATGTTAAGCAGTTTATTGCTGGTAATTGTTGATTACTATCTTCAAGTTCTTTACTAGCAGTAGATGAACTAGTAGTAGATGAATGTGGGTTTAATTTAGATATAGTTTTTAAGTATGCTCGCTCTTTGAAAGATGAAATAGCAGTTATTAAAAGATATAGTTTTAATTACACTCTAATTCTTTGTATTAAAAATAAGTAACAGTTAGTTAAAACTGATTAAGAATGAGAAGAAGAAAATTAAATAGAAAACTGATGCTATATACTTTATAATCTTTTGAAAAATATTGAATTACTCACTAATAGCTTTTAGACAAATCTCTAATTTATAGAACTTTTGGAGAGTTAAAGAAGCTAAGCATAGAAGAATTATCACAGAGCAAGAATATTGAACTTCGATATTTACCACCCATTCAAAGACAATACTTTAAAATTTTTACATTTTATATTTTAATGAAACATTTATTAATATTTTATTTTCTTCTTTTGTAAGACCCAGGATGTCATTTTGAAAGTAAGACATTTGAAATTTTTTTGTTTTTTAGGTAAGTTCTTTTTTTTGATGAAAATTAAATATGTTTTATTCTTTTCTTCTGAGAAAGTCTACCATTTTAAAAATGTAAGTGTTTTTTAATCATTAAACTTTTATTAACATTTTATTCTTTAGTTTACAAGGGTTCTTTATTTCAAAAGTATCCTTTGAAATTTTTGTTTGTTTGGTTTTAAGGTTTTAACGCAACTTGTTTTCTTTTTTTGCAAGTTCTATAGGTATTGCCATTTCAAAATTAAATTTCAATATTTATTATTACTTTTTTTGGAGATTTTTAACAAATGTTTAACGTAAATATTTTTTTTTTTTTGTAGATTAGACACCCATTTTGTTCACCCAATTGAATGTAAATATATTTTTTTATTTTTTGGAAATCCTTTGACAAAATATTACTAATGTTTATCTTCTTCCATTTATAGGCTTCTGAACGCTTATTTTGAAGGTAATTTTTTTAAATAAATGTTTACTAACATTTGTTTCTAGATTTAAGCATGAGTAGTATAAATTTCAAAGGAATTTAGCTTCAAACTTTTTTTTTTTAAACAAAACATTTTATTAATATCCATTTCTTTTCTTTTATAATTCTTTAAATTTTTCATTTTGAAAATAAGTCTTTTAAAATTTTATTTTTATATTAAGCTTTTTTGACGAAATGTTTTATTAACATTTTTTTATTTTTTTTTTAGATTTTTAGAGAAATCAAAAGTTTATTTCTATTTGTAAATTCTGAAAACTTTTCATTATTTCGAAGATAATTCTTTCAAATATCTTTTTTCAAACTTTTTTTACGAAATATTTTTTTTTATGACGGTGATTTCAAATAGAAATTCAGCTCACTTTATTAACATTAAAACTTTAAATATAAATTTATATATTTTATAAATTACAACTAGAAGTTGCAATATACAGGAGACTTTATTTCCCATTAAGCGTCAGATTAAATATCTTATATTAATTAAATAAATTTATATTATAATCAATAATATTTATATATAAATAAATAGTTTATTGTATTTGTAAAGTAATTTAATAAATTTTTAAATATGAGAGTTTTTTAATAAAAATTTTATTAGATTAATATTTTTTCAAAAAAAATAATTATTTAAATATTTACTATATTCACAAAGGTAAAGAAGTATTAATTTTTGTTCTAATCGTTCATATTCTTTAAGCATTGATTTATTTGTAATAAGTGCTGAAGGATGTAATGAAGTGATATGCACTTTTGACATTTGCTTAATGCAACATAAGCTTGACTAGCAGAAAATTTCTTGATAAAGATACAAAGATACTTCAGATAAAGTTAAGCCTTGTGTTTTATGCACTGTAAGAAAGGCAATTTGCAAAGGAAATTAACAGCTACTTGATGGTTTTCCATCTATAAGAAATGTAGTTATTTCTTTTTTAATTTCAATATTGACAATCCCACCTATTACACTAAAAGTGATTCTCATTTGCAAAGAATCTAAATTAATATCTAATATAGCTCCAATGATACCGTTATATATATTATATTCAATTAAGTTATTCTTTAGATATATTACTTGAGCATCTTATTGCAAATTTAGATGACTAAGAAGATTAGTTTTTTTTTTAATAATTTTTAGGATTCATCTGGATTGAATTATTCTCCATTGATAAAATAAATAGCCAAATTAATTAAAAATTTATCATTATTTACTGATAGCATATTGCAGATGATATTGTTTATGTGATTAGCAGTTCATTTGTATTCAATATTATTTGTTATATTAAGAGTAACATTGAGTGGATTTTGATGATCAAAGAATCTATTTTTTTGATATAAAGTATTTTATGTATCTAATGATATATTGCCTAACCTAATTGCTTATAAGATATTATAGTATCATATGTCTTAATTTTGTCTTTGAGATTGTTTTAAGAATAAGGGATAAAATAATTTCTATTCTGATGATTTGTATATAGGTAATCTAGTTATAGCAGGTAATTAGACTAAATCTCTGACTATTATTATGTTTATTCCTTCAAATGTGATGATTGTTTATTATTTAATTATTGAAAACATATTCGAAATAAAACTGAAAAATCTTTCTGACACTATTGAAATTTCATCAATAATTATAGTATTAATTCTTTTTAAAAACATAAAATATTCAATATCATGAAAAGCTAAAGTTTAAAATCTACTTAATTTTTCGTGAATTTTTTAATGCTGAGTGAATTGTTTTTCTTTAAATATTTGTTACAGCAATTCCTGTTAGAGCTAAAAGCAAATAATTTGATTTTTTTTAAATCATTTATAATTAAATTAATTATAAAAAATTTTCAGTATCAGCTGATCATCCTGTTATGAAAAATATGGATATTTGTTTTTTTGTTGTATCAGACCTAAGACATTATGAATAGTTGAAATTATATTTAGTTAATCATTTAGAAAGTTTAGTATATTAGATTGAAAAATAATTGTAGGATTAATTCGCAAAAAATGTAGTTGAATATTAATTAGTGTAAATACGGAATCTGAAATAAAATGTTCTAAATTATTAATTAAAGTATCTAACAATTGATTAAATTAAAAGTTTAACTTCAATTGCTATATATGTAAATATTTTTGAATAATTTGTTGAATAGCTTCGTTTAATTCAGGATATTTATTTAGCCAATAATCACGATATATTGTAAAATTTAAAAGTAATTCTTCTTCACTTCTACAGAAAGTTTCTAGTTACAATTTTGATAAAAGTATAATTGCCTATTTTGTAATATTAGATGTCAAAACTGAACTAATTTTAGAGTAATTCTTTTAATTATATAATTGTCCAATCTGTCAATGTGAATAATAAATCAGATTGTGAGTTTTAAAACAGATATTTCATAATTTTGAAAATATTGTGAATAAGTTAAATCTAAAGATAAGCACTATAATTTAAAAAAATAGCATAATTGAGTTGTAACTTGTGGTATAATTAAGTTGCAACTCAATTAAAATTTGAAAATAATTATAGGAATTATCTTTAGTTAAGTCATTAAATTCTTCTTTAGATAATCAATCAAATCATTTGTTAAAATAATTTGTCCAATATGGATTATCATTAGTTTCATTGATTAGATAAATAAGGCGTATTGTTTTAGATCTAGTTGATGAAGGATCAGTGGTAAGATAATAACTGAGAATGAAGAATTGCAAATAATTTTGCCTAGTATGAAAAAAGAAGGATAGGAAATAATGAATTTCATTATAAGTACAGAAAAAATAAAGAAATTTTGGCAAAATATTACTAACAAAATCAAATAAAGAAAATAAATCATTTTTATCAGTAATTAATACAGGCAGATAATAATTCAATAGTCTTATAAAAAATTATAATATAAGTTTATTTATTAAAATATATAAATTTGATATTTATACTTTTATAATATGAATGTATCTAATAATATTAATTTTTTAACTTATATTATAGAATCTGATAGATTTTAAGAATAGTAAAAAAAAGGAAAGATAATCAGATTAGGTGAAATTTATTACAATAAATTCAAAACATAATTTTTGAAAAAAACCCGATAATTATCTAAAATAAAATTAATACAATGTAATACATAATTTTTAATAATTTATTAACAAATATTTTTTTAGTTAATAAACATAATAAGAAATAGGAATTTATCTTAAAAATAGAAAAGAATAAAAAAATTGAAAGTAAATATGCATTTATTTTAGTTTAATTATATTTTTTCATATATTAATTTAATGTATTTAATATCAATTTTCTAATAATAAAATATTTTTTTTTATAGAATTAAAATCAGAATTTAAATCAGAGTTGAATAAAGAAATAGAGAGTAAAAAAATTATTTTGATTAGAATTTTTTTAAAAT